TATAGTGTATATATATATATATATTAATGTAAATACTTTTTTTGATGATATTTAATTAAAGTTTTAAACCACTAAGGTGACTTTTGGTTCGCAGAATGTTTTTGAATGAAATGAGATTTGTTAAAAGATTTTGACTTTGAAGGAATTGGAATGAAATATTGTCAGATTTGATCACTTGTTTGGTTGATAGACATTGAAATGAACTGTCTATTTGGTTTACAGAATGTAGCTGTGGAATTAAATGAAATATTGGTAAATGAGCAAAATGCCCCTTTTTGAAAATTTTAATTTTTTAAAACCAAAAATACTTTAATAAAATAATTATTTAATACGTAAAACAATATAAAATATACAACCCAAATATAACCATAAGCCAGGCTACGTTAATAAATCAACAGTGGTCGGCGATGGTTCAAATCGGTGGTGGTCCGCAGTGGTTCATGATGATGGTGATTGACAGTGGTTCAGATCGATGGTGGTTCGCGATGGTTCAGATTGGCGGCGGCAGCGGCGGTTGTTCAAATCGTTGGTGGACGGCGATGTCCGGTGGTGATTCAGATTGGTGGTAGTCACCGGTGGTAGGTAGTGGTTCAGATCGGTGGTGCTCCGTCATGTTTCAGGTGGTGGTGGTTGGATGTGGTTTAGATTGGTGGTGGTTTAGATCAAGAGTGGTTCAGATCGGCGATGAATTAGATCGGTGGTTGTTTAGATCGGCGATGGTAGGCGTGGTTTGGATCAGCGGTGACCGGTGGTGATTCAGATCAGTATTAGCGGTGGATTAGATCGGTGGTGGTTTAGATTGACGGTGGCCAACGGTGGTTCAGATCGGTAGTGGTCGGTGGTGTTCCAAATTGGTGGTAGTCGTCAGTGGCCAGCGGTGGTTTAGATCGGTAGTGGTCGGTGGTGGTTCAGATCGGTGGTAGTAGTCGGTGGTGGTCGGCTGTGGTTCAGATGGTGATGATTGCCGGTGGTTCAGATGGTGGTGGTCGGCGGTAGTTCAGATGGTGATGATTGCCGGTGGTTCAGATCAACGGTGGTCGAAGGTGGTCGACAATTGTCATATTGAGTTTTATGAGATTAGGGTATATTGGGTTAAGGGTATATTTGGTATTACAAAAATGGAGATTCTATTCCATCAAAATACCATATAGTTGTTAAGGAATGTTAAATTCCTTTATTTGTGGAATTTTTAAGATTTTGAAGATTTCTTCCGTGAAAAAGAATGAACCAAACGAGAAAATAAAATCTGATCAATAGAATTCAACATTTCAATTCCATCAAATTTACTTCAGAATCTGCGAATCAAACGCCATCTAATAGTTATAAATTCAAGAATCAATTCTAATACAATGTGTCTGTTTTTCTTATTCTTAGAACCTTATATTTCTCGAAATAAATATATTAACTTTTAATTTAAGATGAAAAATTATAAAGCAAAAAATGCCCAAAACTCGCTTAACGTTTGGAATTGAAAAGTTAAAACCATGATAATTTGAATGCATTAAATTTATTACCAAGGGAGATTGAAGAGCTTTTTATGTGTCATCAATCTTTTACAATGAAGATATTTGAACGTATTCAATGATCACCTTGGACCTCATGAACACTGATGGACCGTTTACCTAAATGCTTACCCGGTAAGCGCTTATAATTGAGAGTCAACACTATAATTTATTTTATCGGGTAAGATTGTAGTACATTAAAACATATCTTATGCAAAATTTACCTGGTAAGAGTCGTCACCCTCATTTACCGGGTAAGATTCTTCTTTCCCCTTGCGATGTTCATCCGGTAAGGAAAATTGCCCAGTAAGTATTTACCGGATAAACATTTAGTAAACGACCCCTTAGTCACCAAAATATCGAGTGATGTTTATAGATGGACATGATACATGACTCGTAATGATTCATGAATTAATATCTAAATGTAGCACCAAGTTTTTGCCACGTATACATTGATACATGACTCGTAAGAACGAAAAATCTAGAACACAACGATACGATATCTTAATTTGAAAAATAAAATAAAAACTTCCCGAAATGGGAAAGAAGGAATCGCATATTAATTTCTTAACCAAATTAATCGAGTTGAGGAAAAATTAAACTTAAAAACAAGTTACAATGTTGTTCCCAATCCCATGAAGGTTGGTTCGGTGTTCTATGGAATTATTTCTTCTATCTGATGAGCTCCTTTTTCTTGCTAGTATCGATGGATGATTGAAATGAGATGATGTCGTCGCATGACGGTACGCCGTTTCGGAAAGCTTCTTAAACGGGGTCTTGACTAACTTATTCCAACGCCCGATGGTCTTCGATCAAATGCCCTCAAACATTTTGATTTTATGTACAACCGACACAAACTGAATTCCTGCATCAACTATCCAAATGAATTTTGTCAATTTGCATATGAACTATACGATTTCTACGTAAAACGAAACTTTAGGACGTTTTCAAAGAAAAAATGTATATATATATATATATATATACAAAACATGTAAATCTAATAAGCCGTACAAATCTCATTCAACCAATCATTTTTTATTTCGTTTTCCACTTTTTTTAATTATGAAGGTTGATTAGTTAATAATATATGAGGGTTGAGTAATCAAGAATATATGACACAAATTTTATCAAAATGAGAAATACATGAAACAAAAATATGTGAAACAATTTCATCAAGAAAAGAATTATATGAAACAATTTCATCATGTTAAAACACTTTTATGAAACAACTTTATTCAATTGAAGAATGAACCATACATACAGGTTTATTAGATTTTACTGGTTTGTAAAATAACCTTGACCTACATATATGTATATATATATACACACACATAATAGAGAGAGATAAAGAGAGATAACAGCCTAAAATTGATTAGAAACTCAAGAACAGTCCACAAAACATCAGAGGTCTTGTTCAGAATGAATATTCATCATAAATAACACATTCATGATGAATATGGAGACATTATTCATCATGAATCATACATTCATGATAAATTACACATTCGTATTCTTGATGAATAAGTTAAGTGTCGTGTTGTGGAAGGTCGTCCCATTTTTTATGAAAAGGAGATACCTAAGGAAACCTGCCTCGATTCAGAACTAAGCAACAGTAAAAAATATCATCGTCTTTCATAACCGTTTATTGATAAGTAATGAAAAACAAAAGATTGTTTTTGTCTATCATTTTAATTAATGTGTAAAACAGTGGTATACATACATACATATATATATATATATATATATATAATATGATTTATGATCATGTGAGACCAAAGGTTTTTCGTGAGACCTGTAAGACCAATTCTTAATCCTTAGATTAGATCTACAATCTGAACATTTATAATCACAAAATTGCCACGAGACTTCTCAATAATCACAAAATTGCCACCGTGCAACTTTAGACCATTAGATAATTAGCTTATAAAGTTAATCAATGAATATAAATTAGTCTTACGGGTCTCACGAAAAACCCTTGGTCTCACGTGAACACAACCCTATATAATATAATGCTATAATTTTATAAAGATTTATATGATTAAATGTATATATCTGAAGAGAAATTATACTCACCTTAGGTCTAGAGTTAGCTTTTGAAGATGCTTCCTTTTTAAAGGCCTTATACTCGTTCATTTTCCATTCAGTCTTCTTCCCAGTAGGAGCTCTACCCTTGTAGAAAACCATGGTTCTCTTGATCCCAATGGCTCCACTGCTAATCGAACTCGACGAAGAGTAAACGATGCTGGAAGACCCCGTTGCCTTCCAATACCCGGAACTCGTGAGGCGAGATGGCCGTCCTCCTCTTGCTTCTTTCTCTTGTCTGGGAACGAAAAAGAACCATTGCTCTTCGTCTCCATCACAAAACTCTCCTGCATATTCTGTCTCAGAACTCATTAGAATCTGTGTATATATATATATATATATATATGTATATGTGTGTGTGTGTGTGTGGTGGAATTGAAGGAAAGAGATCTAATTAATAAGAGAAGTATATAGTTACGAGGAAGATCCCATGGATAGAAATCATAAACATGAAGCTGAGGAATGACACGTTGAATCTGTTGAATTCTGCTGGTGTTGCTGCAATGGAGCTTGTGTTTCAAGTAGAACGATATCAGTTCTTCTTCTGTTGGGTAGAATCTAAACCCTCGTGCCACCACTCCTCCTTCACCATGATCCATCTTTACCTCTTTGAATCTTGATCTTGATTCTGCCAATCTCTCTCTACTTTTACGAGATATAATATATATATATATATAGAGAGAGAGAGAGAGAGAGAGAGTAAAACCAGAGAAAAAGCACCAACCTCAATGGGGAATTTCCAGGATTCTGCTTGGAAATTATACGTTACCTTGGACTATGCAGTGTGTCACGTTCACTTTAATTAAGAAGACAAAAACAAGTTTTCAAACGTTCACATTAGATTGGTCGAGATGTGACTTGCTATTAATATAAAACTAGGGTTCGTAATCGGTGTGCGTTGCAGAATGATATAAATTTATGTAAACACATTTGGTTTTATTGAATATCTATACTATCTTATCTTATTAAGTAAATTTAGCAAAAGTCTTAAAGTCTTAAAATACTAAATGACCAAGATATCCTTTATACCATTTTTTCACCCCATTCTCTTCTCACATACACTCACCCCCTCACATACACTCATCCTCTCAGAACCGATTTTTTTTAAATTATAATTTTAAATTTACACTTTATACCCTTATAATTAATTAATTAATTTACTTTACGTTCTTTACTTTTAAATGTTTCATTTTAAACATTTATCAAATTAACATACATAATCGTATATCAATTAAAAACATGTTTAAAAATATATTTTTATTTTAACAAGTTACACCATTATAATTGTCTTGTTAATACCTTCGAAATGAGTCTAATATTGAATAGTTTTTGACTTAATTATATTATTATATATCATATATACTGTGAAAAAATATTTTTAATATTTACGATTTATACTTTTATAGTTATATATATATATATATATATACGATATATTTTGGGGTTAGGCTGTCCAAATTGCACTGTATAATATGTTCTGAATTAATATATTTTTGGGTTTTTTTTGAAATATATATATATATATATACATGTATTAATTCAACCTTAATCTGAGTTTCTGGACAAGAAAGAGGGTAAGCAGTTGAAATTTCATTCTAAAACACATATTTTTTGGTCTTTTCATGGGTTATGATCTGTCAAATTTGTAGTTTTCTTTATTGGTTTTGAGAGTTTATCTTAAAACTCAAGTTTCTTGGTTCTTTGCTCTTGGTGTAAATCGAACACATTTGTGAAGTCATTTAAATATGTTGGATTTTAAATATATTGGATTTTAAACTGTCATACAATTTTTTCCATCGATAGTCTATAATTGGAACAATAACTCTTATTTATTCAAATTGTATTAATATGTAAAGACCAAGTGTAACCTATATCATCGTTAAACCCTATCTTATAAAACCAGTGGAACTTCAAAATCGTTAAAATTCATGGCTCCCGCCACATTGCGCTGATACACATTGGTTGAGATTGGATCTCACAGTTACCACAAACTAATCAGTTCTCATTTGATTAAGCCCCTATATATATATATATATATATATATATATATA